TCTCTATTATCTGTGATATGAAAGGAATTTAGCAGCACTGTTAAGAGTTTAACTCAGTTACCAAGGTACGCTAAGCAACATGCCAGTGTAAGGCCCTGAACTGCACACAGAGAAACCGTCTCTTTTGGATTTGCAATAATGTAATACTTGAACAGACAATAGAGGGGTAGGAAAAAAAACAAAAATACCTGTAAAAACAAAATGGCAGCCAAGCTTTGTTTATGAAATTCATCCTGTCTGATCAAACCTAAAAGGCCATTCTATGTATCATTGCAACTCTGTATCAGTGGCTTAAAACTGCAACTCAGTGTGGTCAATCAGACAGCCCAGAACTCTGCTGCACTGACTGAGTTAATTGTGTTCTACAAGTCTATTCAGTAAACACAACACGGACAGAGCTCTCGCTCCAGAGGACACAACCTTGCAGCAGCTCATGCATGCGCGGTTTGTGACTCTGATAACTGCGCAATACAGCAAACACGGCTATTTGTATGCTGACAGCAGTTGCTGTATGGCTTCTGCCAGGTTAGAGAGAAATTTCAATCATAGTTTACGGGATGAACTACTTGTCCCCTAAATTTTTACTGGAGTGGAGTTTATGGGATAAGAAAAGTCCCTATAGACCATGAAGAGAAGCTCCTAGCTGCTGTGATTCCTCTGGGAACTTAAAAAGTGTGCATTTAAAAAAAAAAAAAAAAAATATTCCTAATTGGTGTTTTTTAATTTATTTTGAAATACATTAAAAATGGGTTAGTATTATGCCATAGCTAACTAAAGTTATATATATATATCAATTTTGCCAAATACTTTCAAAGAATGAGATTTTGGAATAATGCCGACTAAACCATTATGGCCACCGTGTGATGTGAAATAATACCGCCGACTAAACCATTATGGCCACCGTGTGATGTGAAATAATACCGCCGACTAAACCATTATGGCCACCATGTGATGTGAAATAATAATGCCGACTAAACCATTATGGCCACCGTGTGATGTGAAATAATACCGCCGACTAAACCATTATGGCCACCGTGTGATGTGAAATAATAACGCCGACTAAACCATTATGACCACCGTGTGATGTGAAATATTTCGTTCTCTTAAATCATTATGAAAAGAGGTCATGACAAAACTTCTATAATTTCTATAAGATATATATTTTTTAGATTTTGATGTTGTAAAAAAATAATTGAAAAGTTTATCCAAAGATATTAAATCATTTGAAAAATGTACTTAACAATATTAAATTGAGGCCTATATCAGTTTCACAGAAGATTTTTGAACTTTGTAAAAAATTGGTCACAAACCAGCTTTTGATAACTAAAAAAATTATACAAAATACATAATAGTACAATAAACAAAGCACACAATAGTTCAGTACTTAAAGGTATATGTATTACTTGTGAATTTCTATGAACACAAGCAGGGTTATCCACAAAAGTGGGAATTTTCCAACAATTCTAAAGGGAATATCATATTTAAGACCAAAATAGTCAACCTAAAAACATAAAATCTAATGAAGTTTGAATAATTTATATTTCAACTATATTGGCCCACATTTTTAAATTCACTATGAGTTCATTTTGAATTCCTGGCAATTTTCATTTTAGTACTTAAACTTATGTCATCCTCTTTTTGTCCACCTTTTTTTTGGATTTGTTTAATTTCAGTTGAAATTAGTTAGAGTAGAGGTTTCATTCTAACTTACAGGTACACTTCTGAACAGTTTTAGTTAATCAAAGATCTACAGTGTGGTTTAGAAGAATGTCAATTGAGCTTTGTTTAACCCATTAAAGGAACACTATAGTCACCTAAATTACTTTAGCTAAATAAAGCAGTTTTAGTGTATAGATCATTCCCCTGCAATTTCACTGCTCAATTCACTGTCATTTAGGAGTTAAATCACTTTGTTTCTGTTTATGCAGCCCTAGTCACTCCTCCCCTGGCTATGATTGACAGAGCCTGCATGAAAATAAAACTGGTTTCACTTTCAAACAGATGTAATTTACATTAAATAATTGTATCTCAATCTCTAAATTGAACTTTAATCACATACAGGAGGCTCTTGCAGGGTCTAGCAAGCTATTAACATAGCAGGGGATAAGAAAATCTGAATTAAACAGAACTTGCAATAAAGAAAGCCTAAATAGGGCTCTCTTTACAGGAAGTGTTTATGGAAGGCTGTGCAAGTCACATGCAGGGAGGTGTGACTAGGGTTCATAAACAAAGGGATTTAACTCCTAAATGGCAGAGGATTGAGCAGTGAGACCGTGGGGACATGATTTATACACCAAAACTGCTTCATTAAGCTAAAGTTGTTCAGGTGACTATAGTGTCCCTTTAAGAACAGAGTCAGTTCTACAAGTTGTGATCAAAACAAAACGTAAACAAAACCTGGAATTTGCGCTATATGTCTGTCCAACCGTAATTCACCTCTGTCATATTAAGTACACCCACACATATTATATATCATTTTATTTAGGGAAAACAGGGCTTTCATTTCATATCAAATATTTATATCAGAAACATAATTTAATGTGAATAAAATTTAAAAAAACTTAGAGAAATTAAGAAATGTTATTTTTTTTAAGTCTTGCGTGGCATTTTAATTGTTAATATCATAATACTGTTAGATGTTACTGCAATAAAGTACACATATTTGTATTCAGCGATGTCTCATAAGTACAAAAGTACCCCCATGTACAGTTTTTATGGCATTTTGGTGAGTTACAGGGTCAAATATATATTCATTTTACACATATATATTCATTTTTACACACTGAAATTTGCCAGGTTGGTTTGCTGGGCCTATGTTGCCTTTGAGACCATATGGCAGCCCAGGAATGAAAATTACCCCCATCATGGCATGCCATTCACAAAAGTAGACAACCCAGGGTATTCAAAATGGGGTATGTCCAGTCTTTTGTAGTAGCCACTTGGTCACAAACGCTAGCCAAAGTTAGTTTTCATATTTTGTTTTTGCATCTTTCACACAAAATGTGCAGGTTTTATGGTGTTATGGAAAGTTACAGGGTTAAATAAAGGGCTTGTAAATGAAATTCAATGGACTTTCTGCCTGTGTTGTCAAGCAGCTCCCTTGAATTATAATTAATACAATTAATTAATTATATAAATATAGTAGATAAATAAACACGTTGGATATATATATATGTATATACGCTGACCACACATGGAAAAGGGACACTTGTATGTCTCAAATATTTTTATAAAGTGTCTTGATTAAGATGTGCAGAGTAAGTGCTTAAAGTCAAGTTGTGCAAAGGAGTAATGATCCAAGTTACTAGAAATTCGATAAAAGTGTAAAAAGTGCCCCAAAGGGAAAAATCATAGGAGAAAGGGACCGAGAAATCCCAAGGTTTTAAGCAAATGAAAGGTAATGAAAAAAGTTCATACACTGATTAGAGTGACTCGTAGGGGAACAATAACAGACCTCAATATATCAATTAAATATGCAAATGGAACAAATATTCGTAAAAATACAAATGTCTATATATCCAGTAATTGCAGAATACAGAAGGATAAATATATATGTATATACATGAACATTCAATGATCACCAGAATGGCAAAAAGGGACGCTTTTCATAAAGTCCTTTAGGGGACATTGTATTCAGCTCAATTATTATTATTATTATTATTATTATTATGTTATTTATATGGCGCCATGAAATTCCGCAGCGCTTTACAATGGGTGGACGAATAGACATGTAGTTGTAACCAGACAAGTTGGACACACAGGAACAGAGGGGTTAAGGGCCCTGCTCAATGAGCTTACATGCTAGAGGGAGTGGGGTAAAATGACACAAAAAGGTAAGGATAGTATTAGACTAGTGACAGTTGCAGAAGAAGAATCAGCCAGGAGCTATTAACAGTTTAATTGACATGCTTTTATGAAGAAGTGGGTTTTTAACAATTCTTTGAAGTGGTGAAGTGGAGACTGGGTGAGCATCTAACGGAGGAGGGAAGCGAGTTCCACAGGAACGGTGCAGCCCTCGAGAAATCTTGAAGGCGAGCATCAGAGGTGGGTGTACAGACAGAAGATAGACGTAAGTCTTCAGCAGATCGTAAGGGCCTAGACGGGACATACTTGTGTATAAGGGAGGATAGATAGGTGGGAGCAGCATTATGTAGAGATTTGAAAGCAAGAACCAGAATTTTAAATTGAGCTCTATATCTTATAGGAAGCCAATGCAGGGACTGACAGAAGGGTGAGGCGTGGGAGGTGCAGGCGGACAGGAAGATGAGCCCCGCCCCCGCATTCATTATGGACTGTAATGGCGCTGTTTAAGTTGGGAGCATTTAAGACCACTGAGAAGCAGATTACAGTAGTCAAGGCGAGAAAGGACAGTGGAATGGAACAAACATCTTAGTCGCATCTGGCGTTAAGTAGGGGTGGATGCGCGCAATGTTTTTGAGATGGAAATGACAGGATTTGGCGATAGATTGAACACGAGGCTTGAAGGAGAGGTCGGAGTGAAAGAGAACACCTAGGCAGCGAGCCTGCGAGGTGGAGCTGATGGTAGCACTATTGACTTGGAGGGAGACAGACACAGTAGTAACAACACTTGAGGGAAGAAAGACCAGAATTTCAGTTTTGGTCAAGTTTAGTTTAAGGAAGTGGGCAGCCATCCAGTTAGAAATAGCAGAGAGGCAGTCAGAGACACTAGTCAAGAGGGACAGGGAGAGATCAGGAGAGGACAAAATGATCCAAAATCTTTCCTGCTGTAATAACAATTTGGCCCTATCACCCCCTCTTACAGGTACTGGGATATGGTCAATCGCAACACATCTGAGTGTCGAGAGGTGGTGGTGATTTTCCAAAAAGTGTCTGGCCACAGGTTTGTCCGACTTGCCATCTCTGTAGGCAAGCCGGATACTTGACCTGTGTCCCCTGATCCTTTCACAGAGTGCGGTTTCAGCTTTTCCGACATAGTTGAGGCCACAAGGACAGGTTAACTTATAAACCACATACTCTGTTCTGCAGTGTATCCTATTTTATAGGATTTTCCCAGATGGGGGTGACAGAAAGTTTTAGGTGGTATAATGTGTCCACATGTCACACAACCCAAACAACGGACACAACCCACATTCACCACATCATGATTTTTAGACTTGTAACAGTGTACCGGGTCTGTATGGACCAAAAGGTCTTTTAAATTCCTGTTACATCTATAGCAGATCATGTCGTACAATTTCAGGAAGGGTGACATCCCTTTGCAAAATATTCCAATTTCGGTCAACGACGTTAACTGGCTAATACACATTTCTTTGCGTTGCTCTGCAATCAAGCTAAGGTATACACGGATTTGGGAACGAGTAGATTTGGCAAGTTTGTCAGAGGATATAGGCTCTGCTATGCATGCACAATGGGGAGAAATTTGTAAAGTACCACAATCAGAAACGTTTAAAAACAATGCTGAATCACCAAGCAATAAGGAGAGATGTTTTTTGACAATTTCTCCAGTTTTACAAGTTTGCACTGTCCTTTCTGTTCAGGACAATTTTGTAACTATAACGTACAAAATTAAGCCCTACGTTCAAACGCCCACTACTCCTGGGAGGCAGCAATGACTAGAGTACACACATCAGTCCCAATACATACAATACAAAAACAAAGAAGAAAGTTACATGCGCACTATCCCAAATCCCTATGCACAGCTAAATAACTGGAGTTTTTTTAGTACCACTCCAATTGCCATTAAAGTGTGAGCTCACCTGCCACGTCAAAGCAAACCTCCGAGGTGGGTCCTACACTAACAATTCACCTTACTGTCTTCTGCTAAGGGCATTAATCAAATGGTCTCCACGAGTTTAAATAGGCTACGGAGGTGGAAGTTGCCCTAGTTGCTATAAGGAAGACTAAAAATATCAATGTTTTGCATCGCAGAGTTAGAATTAGGGGACAACGACAACCAGAAAACTTAATTGCTACGGAATTTGCTGGCGCTATATAAATAATAATAAAACAATAATAATAATAAATAGAATGAGTTTACATCAGACCAAACTCCAAGCAAAAACAAAGTTTTTGCGAATCGTTCTTCTGTCTGTTCTCGTATCCTGTGCAGGTCTGTTGGTGGGGTGACAGATCATGCCACAATATATGACATCATATTATAATACCATCCAATCACTGCTATCGTACATCAATTACAGGAAGAGAGAACGTGACATCACAAGATAATCAGACCGCCGCCCTGCTCCATCCAAATCAGAAACAAAATGGAGGAAGCTGAAGGAAATGGTAGGAAAACCCAAAATTTTTTGTGAATTGTGTATTACATTATTAGTCATACTGTGATGTGACTGCCATGGATCAAACTGTTTTTTTAGAGGAAAAAGAAAATAAAACCCTATAAGATTTCATCTTCTGGAGCTCTTCCATATTTCTATTGTATATGTCCTTAAGAAATGAATATAGCGTGTCCATCATTCTGGAAGATGAGTGGGTGTGATAATGAAAAGTTAAAGGCATGTTGTGGCTGCAAGTGAATGCGTGGGACTTGATTTTGCATTAATACATTTCTGAGGTTCTTTACAAAGTGCATTCAGATCTCTTACTAAGGCTGATGTTCAGTATAGCACAGAAGAAGAAAAATGTGTCATATTACTAATTCATTTAACTGGCATATAGGTAATGGGGAATGCTTTTAATGAATGTGGGGTTTAGTCACTAAATCTATTCATAAACAGGACTAAACATAGGACACAAGATCACACATTTAAACTGAAAGAAAGGAGATTTAGTCTAAGGCAAAGAAAAGGGTTTTTTTTATACCGTAAGAACAATAAGGATGTGGATTTCTCTGCCTGAAGAAGTGGTTTTATCAGAGTCTGTACAGATGTTTAAACAGCAACAGGAGGAATACTTGCAAAAACATAATATTGAGGGATATAATTTTTAATATGCGGGGTTACAGCTTCTTAATCCGAGGGGAGATCTGACTGCCATTCTGGGGTCATGAAAGGTTTTATTCCAAGTTTGCAGCAAAATTGGAAAGAACTTCAAACTTGGTCTTTTGCCAAATTTTGTATCAACAGTAAAGACAGTTGTGAGATTCGCTGAACTTAATGGATGTAAGTCTCTTTTCAGCCAATGTCACTACGTAACTATGTAACTACATAACTATGTAGTTGTAATAAGTGAATTTCTAATTCTAGAGAAAAAAAAGTCAGCTATGTTTTTAGCTCCACTATTTCAGCCTAAAATTCTAATTTCACTTCCGTGAATAATCCTGTGTAAAAATGTGAATTTTGCATTTTAAGGTCTACATTTTGAAAATCACTTTAAATTTCCAACAATACACGCTGTCAGAGTTATTCACTAGTAGTTTGAATTCAAAGTGAATTTCAAATTCATGGTGTGAATAATCCTGTTTTAGTATTTATGTCGTAAATAGCTCCCTTGGTATGAAATCAGCAAGGTGTGACTTTAGGCCAGTTAGAAGATTTCACCAAATGAACGAGTCTAACCTTACACTGCATTATTTCCTAAAGAAAGAATTCAGAGTGAATTCCACATTTCAGTTTATAATAGCCACACTGGAAACATTCTCTAAGTCAGCTATGGTTCCATTTTGGCTATAGTGTCGTTACACTTGATATTTACTTTTAATATTCTCTTTAGTGAAGAATCCTGTAAGTGCTTGTTAAAGGGACACTCAAAGCTCAATTATGTGGTTTTGGTGCATAGATCATGCAGTCTCACTGCTCAATTCTCTGCCATTTAATTTTTAAAACACTTTTGTTTCTGTTTTGTTTATGCAACCCTAGCCACACCTAGGGATATAATTACACTTGTCAAATATTACTTTTAAAATAGGAAACATAATTTCCTGGTTAAGAAATGATAAGAATATACTGTGATTTCAGGAAAGCTACACGCTGTTCTGTTTTAAATTTAGTCTTACATCACCAATGAATTCTGAATGAGATTTTATTCCACCACAGTGGACTTGACAACGTTTCAACCCTAGTCAGGCTCGACAAAAACCCTTTATTTGGGTCAAAATGTTGCTGAGTCCACTGTGGTGGAATATAATCTCCTTCAGAATTAATTGGCATTGCAATTCCATTATTTGCTGTTGGGATACTCGGAGACCTTTGGAGGTATGCTCAGTGTCATTGTTCATAGCTTTGGTATTTTATTTGCATATTTAAATTTAGACTTAGCTAGATGTACATATACCCGGCACATAATGTACTTGGTTACAATGAAACAGCTGAATTATGATACTTTCAGCTTTTTTTTGTGACTGTAAATTTATAATATCTAAAAACATCTGCAGGCAATTCACTTGCAAACAATTTCAGTAATTATACCCCGAATTAACCAACACATTTCATGTTTCACTGTCAGAAGGTTTAGAGCTCAGCACAGTGTGCCCAAGATAGAATTTTATTATATCTATAAATTGTTACAACACAATACGAGTGCCCAAATTATGACCCTTCAGGTGTTGTGGGACCAGATTTTCCAGACTTATTTGCTAGTCATTGACTCTTGTCCAACAACACTATAAATTCTGTAGATTACAAACATACATGCATCCTATAGATTTCTACAGGATATGATTACTCAGGGCTGATGTCAAGTGAAACAAATTTATAAGGTCCATAATTCCCAGGAAAATATTTTTGAATCTCTAAATAATATCTTCACTGTTGACCTACTATTTAATTAACAACCTACCTGCCATCCTATCTAGATAATTATAGTGTAGCTCCAAATATCATGATAGGACACCACCTACTGTTGAACTCTCTATCCCCTGCCAAACAGCGTATATGATTGTCTTGGACCCGAAAAGGACTTGTTATAGGTACGATTTTCACTAAGGTTCATACCTTCCATTTTTATAGTACACAGTACAGGTGCTGTCAGATATCCATAGGTTAAAGTTGATTTTGTCACCCTCCTGTATGGCAGCCTCTGGCCTGTTTGTGTCATGGCTGCATAGAAGTTGGGTACCATGTGTGTTCAAAATGGATAAAGGGAAGCCAAAGTCTTAGGTGAAGTTACTTGGGCAGTATAGGTTTGGGAGGACCCTGGACCTCTGTAAGGATGAAGATGGATGTGTACGTGTGTGGGAAGGAAGCTGTACAAAGATAAGTGTACAGATATTCTCAGGAATGGAAGTACAAAGATAAGTGTACAGGTATTCCCAGGTGAAGCAGAGAGTGTACATGAATGTATGAGTGTGTGCATGCATTTGTTAGAATGTGTATATTGGTATCCATCCATTATAGGGGAATGCATGCATGTGAGCATATATGTGTGTATCTATGAAGTATAGGGGTGACTGTATGTATGCATGATGTAAAGAGGTATCTGTGTGCATGTTTGAGGGTGAGGGTAGGTATACATGTTCTTGTACAATGGTACAATTGTGGTATGAGATTCACTCTATGAATGTATCTATGAAGGTGATTGTGTATGAACCATCATTTCAGTGATAAGCAAATATACTACCATTTCACACTATATTTATAAAATTATAGTGTAATAGATAGTAGATAGTGTCTATTTACATGTCAATACATTTCCATTTGCTTCACAGATCAGGTTGCACACTCTAGGCTTCAAGATTTTTCATGACAATATAATTTCTTTGAGCAATATATTCATATTTTTTTTTTTTGTTCGGTAATTCACATTGCACTCTGTGAAATCTGATTGAAGATTCATTATTCAACCGAGCAACAAAATTGCTTTACATCTTTTATTTCTGTAGACTGAAACAGAAAGTATGTTTGAGGGAAACTGAGGTTACAGAAGATTTATAAACTAACAACCATTTCAATTTTAAACCCGAGACAATGGGCTTTCTTCTAGAGAAACCCAATTTTCAGCCATTTACATAGTGAATTAAATGGAAGCTCCAAGCACCTTGACCAGTTCAATGATTTGAAGTGGTTATGATGTCTGGTGTCCGTATGTGCGGAAT